CTTTTTTAATTTTATATATTAACTATTAGCTAGCTATTTAATTATAATATTAATAAAGTATAAAATTGGTTTATATTATCTCACTTTTAATATTAAAAAAAAAAAAAATTGGTTTATGTTATATATAATATTTAATAAATATTCAATAAATATTCGAATATTTATTCAAAATTTTTCACTAAATATTCAAATATTAAAGTATTGAATAAATAAATATTTAAATATAAATTTTTTGACCAAGTCAGACCTCTAGTTAGTGTGAAACCTTGAGATTTTGTCTAACAACTATATTCTGAATTAAGGCCATTTGAAGTTAATTTTTTAGTTAATATCATCCTTCTCTCCTCCTCTTTGATATTTCCTGATAAAATAAACATATAAAAAAAGTAAAAATTAAAAAATATCATAACTACAAAATAACACGCTGGGTGTGGTTTCGAATTTTGGTTTAAATTAAACTTAATTTAGACTAAAATTCAAAATAACTTTCTATATACTATTTTGTGGTTATATAGCAAATATTAAATAATTTATACTAGGTAAATGGAGATCATTTAAGGCCCAAAGGACTTATCATGAATCAGTCTGACAATGGGCATTTTCGGAGAAATGTTTGTTTTTATCAGATCAATTAATCAAACTTCTTAATTTGCAGACACATACATATCCAGATCACTATGACTCTCCTATAATGTTCTTCGGACAATAATTTAAAATAAAATAAAATAATTTAAATTAAATAATTTAAAAAATAAAAGTAACCGATTAAAAATAAAAAAATTAAAAAATAATTTAAAAAAAAAACAAGAAAAAAAATAAATAATAAAAAATAAAGACAAAATTTTAGTTCCTACTTGGCTGTTCTTTTATATATATTTATTTCAGTTTGTAATGAAACGATTCAAAAAATCTGCTAAAAAAAGAGCTTCTGAAGTGTTTTTATTCGATTGTGTAAAGCTAAAGAACTAGTATTAATAAGTAAAAAGAAATATTTAAATAAATATTTAACTTTTATAAAAATAACAATTACAAACTAATTATTCAAATCGAAACTTTTTTGTATTAATTTTTAAGCCATCCAATCAGTAATTTATTTCATTCAATGAAAAACAAATTTTGTATTCAATGACCAATAGGAACTTGGAAATTAGTAAACCTAAAATTCTGGTTTGACTGTAAAAATTGTATATACAAAGTTCTTTTTCTCGAATGAATGCATTATATAATTTTTATTTATCTGTTTATTTATTTTGCTCCTCTCTTTTATAATAGGAATGCAATATTAACTACTGATTAAATTTATCTAACCTAATTAGCAACTCAACTAGAATCTCTAGACTAAGTTTAACTTGAAGTCAATTTGTTATAATATATTTACTATATTAAAAATAATTTTTTTATTTGCTCTCCCCTCTTTTAAGAGTTCTGGAAAGTAATATTAACTGAAAAATTAACTTCAAATGGCCTAATTGATACTTTATTGAATATTATTATCATGATTTTAAATTGGCAATACTATATTATTTTTGAAACTTTTTTGGGTGACGATTTTACCCCAGTTATGTTTTTTTGCCATCTTTGTGTCATGGCATGCCACTTTGGTGCTATAGCTTGCCACTTTTGTGCCCATGCCTATAAAATGTCTAGCATTTGTACTCATGCCCACATTTTTATGCCTTAGGCATAGACACAGCATGAGGCACTAGTGCCTGACCTAGTGCCAATATGCCTGGCGTGCCCACTTGCAAAGCCCTAATCATTAGTAAAAATTTTAATTAGAAATGCTACAGGTATAGGAACTGTAAAATATATCAGATATTCCATATACACCATGAACACCATGTATTATCATGGCTTTGCCATGCCAATACATGCTATTCACAACAGCCTATAAAATATCTATTACATATCTTATTTATTTGGCTTAATATAAAATTGCAAAAAGTGTCCATAATACTATGCTACCCTACTGCAGGGCCGATGATTTTCTGCAGCGCTAAAAAAAAAAATTCTGTGCATATAAAAAATAAATTCTGTGATGTAATGTAAGCAATTTTTGAGGATTATATACAATTATGTAGTGCAAAATAACTAATTATGTGCTAAAATGTGTCTAAATTTGTGCAAACTTTATTGACAAACCACATATTTCTGAAACTTTCTGACCAACATGTTTGTCATTAATTGTCCACTTTCTGAGAATTACCGATGCTGACCTAAATTAAATTGCCCACTTTCTAAAATCAGTATTTATTTTGATTTCTGTGGTTAAATTATGTTATCTTTCTATAATTCACTATTTTCTGTGGTATTCTGCGGTGATATAAACAAATTCTGCGATATAAGCCTATTTCTGTAAATTCTGTGGTATTATGTGAAACACAGAAAATCATCGGCCCTGCCCTGCCCCACTGTATATTCATTGAACTGGACAAAATAGCTAGACTGGACATATAAAAAAGTCCAGTTCAGCATCTGTAAAAGACTGGAATAAGTAATCTTATTATAATAGCTGTAATCACGCGACCAAAATTTAGGCCGGCATTAAGCAGCGCCTGAGTAAAATACATTTACTGAAACTTGGGTAATTTTTACTAATTGACGTAATTGCTATTAGCCTAGAAAATGCCAGAAATAGACAAAATTTAGAGCCTGAATAGATATAAGTAACGGTGGTAGATTTCGATCATACTTGCTGAAAAACAGAAAAAAATGGAAAAAATTCTAAAATGGTCGACCGAAAACAGCGATCCCTCAGCTGTGCCACAGCAACCAGCTACGCAAGAAAAAAATAAATTAGTACGTAGGTATATTTTATGACAAAAACGAGAATTAAAACGCATTAAGTCATTACTGATCAGCTTTGAATAAAAGGATCCGGAAATTATTGATCTCATTTTGGGAAAAAGTGATGCTGTTCAAATTCGAGGTATCTTAAAGTTATAATTTCTCTCACAATGCTAGACTATATTTAATTAATTTTTTGAATAATAGAGGCCGTTGAGGCTGTGTCAAATCCAGAAACAAGTGTAGATGATAAAAAAATTGCTCTCGATAATTTAGAAATGGTTTGTTTTTAGATCTTATTTAATATAGTGCACCGAAAAGGCTAAAATAGTTCTGATTATTTGTTAATAGCTTGTAGAACAAATAGATACTGCCATTGGTAATTATGAACGTATATTCATATTGAAAATAGAGCAGCAGAGATTTTGAATCAAATATTTAATCAGTACAACTTCATTATAGTTATCGAGAATATGAATTTATGGCCACAAATTCTTTCATTCCTTTCATTACCAGAAGCTTCTCTTAGAACACAAGCTTTATGGGTATGTGGAACTGCTGTTCAGAATAACCCTAAGGCACAGAAAGCTGTATGTATTTAATCAATTTTTTTCAAATCATTCATCATTTCAAGGATAATCTTAGAAGTCTTTTTTCAATGCAGTTCTCTGAAAATGGAGGATTGACTCTCATCTTGAATATATTAAAAGATGCAAATGAAGATATGGAAGTTAAGAGTAAAGCAATATATACATTGTCTGGTGAGTTAAGAGGTTTAATCTTTTATTCACATGCTTTACATTAACCTCCGCGAATTAATGTTCATAGGGGCTATAAAGCACTATCCTCCGGGGTTAGCACAGTTTGAAAAAGATGAAGGGTACGACGTATTACTGAAATTATTAGAGACTTCTAATGGTGCGGGATGGATTTTAAATAAAATTGCTATATGTGCAGCATTTTCGTATTAAAATATATTTTATATATTTTCAATGTTTAGAAATCCAGTTACTGCGTAAAACAATATTCCTTTTCAACACTTTGCTCATACAAGTTCCAGACACTGTAGCAATGCAGATAAAAGAAAAAGGGTTTGCCAAAAAAATGATGAATATATTAGATGAATATGGAGATAAAGATGAAGATTTGACAGATAAGGTTAACAAACTTCATCTATTTTATTAAGAAGTTAAGTGTAATTATGAAATTTTACAAACTTGAATATTTTGTAGGTTCTTCGCACATTGCTTTCTGAATTGCGACATTCTTCACAATCTTTTGCTGATGACGAGATAAATGAGCTGAGAAAACTTCTTCCGAAACTCAGGACAAAATATGGGGAATGCGCTCTGACCCCGATAGAATGGGATGAATTAGAAAAGCGAATCCAATAATAGGATTCATCTGAAATATATTCGAACTTGTTATATTTTCACGTTACTACAGTGCAGGCATCCTTAAACCAGCTAGTGGATGTTCTATAGAATAGGTGGGCAATATAAAAAATAAACTCCGCCAATAATTAGTAATCATTAATAAATATTTAGTGGAGTCGTGGAGTTTGCGGAGTTTGCCCACCTATTCTATAGAACATCCGAAAAAAAATGAGGGAGAGAAATTAGTTTATAAATAAGCTTTTATATAATAAATTTTTTAATAAAAGAATTTATTAATAATTTTGGGCAGAATTAAAAATTATTAGTAATTTTGGCCAAAATTGAGGCGGTCAAATTTTTAATTTGGCTCATCCAAAAAATTATCGTAAACAAAAAGTGTTAAATCGTTCTTTATAATATTTATTATAAATAAATAAGATTTTTTAAGTTATGCAATATGATACTGTTTCCAAATATTATACAACCAAGTCTCTAGATTTCTTCAACAATGCTAAATTTCTTGTTCATAGGATATATTTTTTTCTTAATTTCGTTCTTGTATGTTTATTTATGAACACATGTAAAAAATAACAAGAAATAATTTCATGATTATATGAGTTTGCCGGATAATGTTATTATATTTAATTATTGATATTCGAAATTTTTTCGGGTAGTGATTTTTTTCTGGTCATTTAATGATTAGGAAATAACTCTATTAAATACTATATATATAATTAATTTAAAAAACAAACTATATATATACATAGATTTGTTCTTTAGGTTCAATTTTACTATTTTATGAAACGATTTGGTTAGGGAAGTGTCATTTATCATCTGATTTTTTGTAAATCCCCCTCCCTCAAATGATTACAATTACATAAAACATATATATATGTGATTTATTAGCATGATATTTTGGCACCCACCTCCTGCTAAAAAATCAGATGATAAATGACACTTCCCTTATAATTACACCAAAAAATTCATAATGCTTTTTTTTAAAAAGTGCTTATAAAGAGTTGTGCTTATATAAAGAATTTACAATATTTGAGTGTCGCCAAAAGAAAACCCGACAATTTAAATATAGACTATATTTAAATTGTCGAGTTTTTTTTTGGCGACACTTATTTATAATAGTTTGTTTTAAAATAGGTGTGCTTATAAAGTGAATTTTTATATAATGTATATACTTATATAGAGGGTAACTATAAAGAAGTTATACAAAAGTAGTGTACCTGATAGTTATACTGCATACATTGTCTGATTTACCCGACAGACATAAAATTACAACTACAGTATACCCTGTCAAAACTGATCCTGTCAAAACCGATAATCTTTCACAACTGATAAAAAGTTGATTCACCATATCGGTTCCATAATTCAAATCTGATAACTTGCCATTTCCGATAACCAATACTCAAAACATCAGATATCTATAAGATATCAGGTTTGCAAGGTAAAATTAATTGATTTAATTTGCTCAAATCTGATTTCATGCAACTAAAAATATATGTATAATATAATTCGGCCAATTATATTTAGCTATTATCATGTGACCATTAGGCTATTAGTATCTTAAATTTGATAACCTCTCAAAGCTGATACAAAAGCTGTCCACTATGCACACTGGTTTTGACAGGATATACTGTATCTTGTTGTTATATTACTTGCAGCACGATAAGTTATCTTTAATATTGAGCTAAAACTAAACCTATCCTTCAAAAGTTATTTAGAAAGTTTTATGTATGTATGTCATATTACACATTTCTATATAAAATTAAATTTAAATATAATTGGATCACCACCTCTGCACCATATATATCTTGCTAGCTGATGCACCAATTTGGTGCACCATTGGCATCTCCAAGTACTTTGCACCCACCAACTAAAGATTAGACCTGTTAAGAAAATCTCTACCTGGGTATTATTAAATTACCTAGATAAATTATTATGTATTTCAGGTAATTATATAGCAACAATTTCTACCTGGGTCCAATCCTTACTACCAACTCAAATTCGAGTTAAGGTTCAGTTTGAATTCGAACTAAACTTGAACTTACTTCCAAGTTGGGTTGGTTCAAGTTTGTAGAAATACTAATTAAAGAGAAACTTTTATAGCAGTGTATTTTTTAAGCTAAGTCGCATGATCAGCTCAGGTCTAATTCGGGCCAAGTCGTGTGATCTTTAGAGCCAGCTCAAGCCGATCTCTAGATTTATAGGCAGACATTCATATGATTGGCTATTTAAATCAATTTAATTTTACAGTTTAAAGTACTTTTTAAAAAAAAGAAAGCTATGAAAAATAAACAAAAAAGAAGTATATAGAAAGTTTTATTAGAGTTGTAGAACTTCACTATTAAAAATAATCAAAATTCTTTTTTGTTTTAGAAAAGTTAGCATAATAATAGCTTCTTAAAATTAGGTTATCACTATGCTTATACATATATGCCTAAATTCAGGGTGATTTACGGCATTATAGCATTTTTTATATTTTCGGCAGCCTCTTCAAAATGTCTAAATGCCGAAAATAATTACGGCTGCCAAAATTATTTTCGGCAGCTGAAATTGTTTTCGGTGGCCATAATTATTTTCGACAGTTGTAATTATTTCGGTTGTTGAAAAAAATAACTTTATAATTTATTGCAGTTACAAATCCTACTTACTCCTTTTGGACAACCTTATAGCCAATGCTCGGCACAATCAAACAAAAACTCAACAACCATATAGTAAATGTCCATGTCAATATTTTGCAAACAATGTCCAAAATATATTGAAATCAAAAGCTTATATACCCGATATTAAAAGCTTATCGCCAAATTTTTATCAGCTGTTCCAGAATTTATGAGAACAACTGTAATGTCTGAATTATCCAACAGAAGGAACCGTTGATATGTCACAAAATCATTACACAATTGATGAAAATTTTTTTTATATTATTTTACAATACTTTTTTG